GAGCCCTTGCCTCGCAATGCTGCCAGTTGTGTTAACTCTACACCCTCTACCAAGATGATAAAGATGAAACATGGGTGGACATTTCACCAAGACAATGACCCAAAACATACAGCCAAAGAAACTTTCAATTAGAGAGATAATACAGCTCATAGACTGGCCCAGCAATGTTCTAACCGTTGCATTTCCGAATTCTCCCGAGGGGTGCCAGACTTTACACAAGTGAACAAGTTTGGTTGTGGCCGGTTTGTAGGTAGCATCTTGCTAACCAGTTTGGTGCTAGTAGGTTCCCAATGGGAAATTACATTGGGACCAAGTAGCACTTGGTCCCAATGTAGCACTTGGTCCCAACGACACTGTCAAGGAACACTATGGACAGCGGAAATATGCAAGAGGAGTACAGTTGTGTGTCAGCGGTTGTGGATGAGTCTCCTCCGTCATAGTTTTTTATTTAGAGGAGGAAAGCGGGGATGAAGATGTTGTGGAAGAGGACGCCAGGACGGCAGAAGCCTAGTTTGGTGTAGAAGGCTTATAGACATACTGTACATGTTTGAGCCCTTTCCTCGCAACACTGCCAGTTCCGTTAGCTCTACGCCTGCCGAAGACACAGACGTCCATTCCTGTGAAAACTGGGACGTAACTCAATGGTAAAGTTTAACAACGAAGGAAAATTATTTCTTATTTCAGCCGTTGCGTATATTAGCTGCAACATATGAATCAAGATGCTATGAACGAAAATATTGATTGACAGATGTTCTTTGATATATGATTGGCTGAATTTAGGTGTACAAGCTAACTAACTGGCTTTCATAAAATAACAAAAACAAAACCCCCACAGATTTTAGGACAGTGTTTATAAATTTTCCCTATGACTTTAATTTCTGGACATCTATGGCTTGATTTCTTTTTATGTTTGGATTGCATGGATTGTGTGAAAATCATGTCAGTAGCACCTCTAGAAATATATTAACTGAGGATCTATATGAATGCCTTCTATGCAAATATCAGACATAAAATTATATTTATCTGTTTCAAGCCTCAAAACTCGCCAGCAGCACATCAGTTGCTATGAGTTTTTACTTATCATCAACTTCAATCTTTAAGTAACTGGGAAAATTATAACATATTTAGTCTGAACTGGTTATGGATTCATTTTTCTTATCACCTTGCAATAAGAAATATATTTAGATTATATTAAAAAATGAAGGCCCTATTGTCTTTTCCTATCGTAAATTCAGTATTGTTTTCTCAGAAATGGGAAAAAGAAAATAATATTGATTTAAAGAAAAATATTGAGCAATTTAGCCAGGGGAGGAGAGAATAAAATAAAAAAAATAGAGCTGATGGCTAAGAGAATAGATGCGATAAGAACAGAGAAAGAAAGAATATCAAAAAAAAAATGTAAGGGTTTCAAACACAGGTCTTTAGCTTGTTTTAAACACTCTAAAGAGCTTCAACAGACAGACTGATCTATCTCCCTGACATCCTATTATGACAGGAGTAAGACAATTAGAAAATGTGGTTAATTGAACACGACCGAAAATAACAATTTCCTTCATGTTTATGTGTGGGTGTGGCTGCCTATGCAATTTCCGCTGTACAAATATGTTCCACTTTTTAATATAAACTGCTTTAAGGAATAATGATAAAACAGCAATAATAATGAGTCATTGTTGCAAAGGCCCAGCTCCAAAAAAGCTGGGCATTAGTTAAGAGGATGTAGGTAGATGTAAGCCACAAAAATATTCAAAAACTGACTGATAGGGTATTTATTTGTTAATTTTTATTGAGTCAAAATCATGAATTGTTGTTAAATTCCAATAACTTCCTTTAGTTTTCTAAGAAAGATCGGATATGGCCATTGCAAAAGAAATAAACCTTCCTTTTTACCATTTCTTTGCCCCACCACTCTAAGCTTTTCTTGTACATGCTTTCTCAATTTGTATGCTGATATGCCTTCTCTCTTCTCTCTCAGGGGAGCTGTGTACTTAAGTGCAACAGCAAATGACTATCAAACACAGAGGAAGAAAAACTGATTCAGAAACTCCCCATCCAGCAGAGAAGCCTTCTCAAAGTGCACACTTCTAAAAGTGCACCCCTAGGTCACTGCTTTTTCCCCAGTGATCAGCTGCATATATGAAATGACTTTTCATACATTCAGGTAAAAAAAAAACAGCTGAAAAGTGATGAAATAAAGAACACTGTCACTAGCGAATAGCTTTGGTTTAGCAGTAGCGCTCGGGGAGGAAAAGTGACCTAGGTGGCTCAAAAATAAATGCCTACTACTGGGCCAACTTGATAAGTTAATGAAATGTCAAATTGACAATGTGCTTGAGGAATATATTATGCTATGCAGTGGTTCTCATTGTGATTGTGTAAGTAAAATAAAATAGTTACTCTGTAAGTTCAAGTAAGTTTTTACAATTTTCAGATCATACAAGTGAGCAAATATAATGTATTTTATTCAATTAATCAATTCAATTAAAGTTCATACATTTTTTATAAATCTAATATTTAAAACTATGGACCTAAATATGCTTCTGCAAATTTGCATTATCTGATGAGAAAAACATTAATTTACTCATAAAGATGTGAGGTAAAAACAAAATTCGAAAAGTTAAATAGATTTTTTTTATCTTACTATTTTAAAAGAAAGACAAAACACAGTATTGCTAGAGCACTGCTTTAAGGTGTTACAGTATGTTCTTGGAATTTAGAAAATGCTAAGAAGAGCTTACACATTTCTCCTTTAACAACCAAAGTGCTTACTTCCAATTTCGTTGTGAGCATTTAAAGTTTCTAAGAAAACTTTTGCAAATTTTAATGTTTTATTTGATCTTTTTAAAGCATACAGTAGGTTTATAAAAAGCCTTACATAGTGAAGGACTGGCATTAAAATAGAAATATCACGCTCTCAAGGCCTTCCTCATCATAGTTAATCATTTAGTAGAATTTTAATGGTTTGGCCCTTCTATTTTACCCTTGTCTGAGGTTCATATGAGTTTTAGTGTGGTCTCATTGAATGCAAATGAGGCACTTTACATCCTGCCCCAATCCATGTCACAGAAGTGTTCCACTCCATTGTACCTGTATGGATCGGTCTCAGATTCCACAAATACACATATGTGATTTATACATGCACAGGACTAGATCCACACATGCACAGAACGATTCACACAAGCACAAATAAATCCACACACACAAAGGACAAGATTCACAGACGCAGAGACCGAATGACGCAAGCACACACGATCCACACATGCAAAGACAAGATTCACCAAAGTGTTTCTGGTCCATAAACATTATAAATTCAATTAAAAAGAACCAGTGGTCTTTAAACTTCACTGCATTTGTGTGTGGATTTTTTTGAGACTCCCTTGATGTGCCTTGTGCTTGCGTGGCTCGTTTTGTGCATCTGTGGATCTTGTATTGTGTGTGGATTATTTTGTGCTTGTATGAATCGGTCTGTGCATGTGTGGATCTTGTCCTGTAGATGTATGAATCACATACTGTATGTGTATTTGTGAAAATTGAGACCATTTTAGCTCCATATGCTTGTCCCTAATTGTAGTTTGATGGCAGTGGTACGATTGTCTAGTGTCACAAAAATTGGAAGTCAGTGTAAAACCTTAAATTTCTACACCCAGTAACCAAACATTTTGAATTATCTACTTGTAGCTTCAGCATCCTTGGGCTTGGATTAAAAAAACAATAAAGAAATGGCAGATTTGCAAATTTGATGAGCAGGAAGTCCATGACCTTCATTAGCAGTTCAACAGCAAACACTGATGTTTACTGAACAGATTTGAAAATATGACTGAAACAGAATATAAAGATATCTAACAGTGTCTGGGGGACTAAATCAAACATTAACGCTACCGGGTAAACAACAAAACATATCTAAAGGCTATCAAGCACATTATCATTTTCCTGACTGATAATGTGCTTGAATAGCTAATTCAACACCATCGCCTGGTACAAGGTTAGCTACCTGGTGTTTCCTGACAGGCATTTTGCATGAGGCACATATTTAAATTGATCTTTTATTAATGTATTGACATTTAATTAAAACTTATGCCAAGATTAGACACAGGTAGACATAACTGAATACATTTTAAAACCTATGATTATACTGTATACAGTAGTGCCATACCAAGATTATGGACGCTACAGCAAAAGTCCTGAAAATTGTTATCAATTTAATTTTATTTCTTTCTTGGCTATTTATTTATTTATTTTTTTGTCTGTGTAGTTATATGACAAATATCTAGCATAAAAATGTAGTGTGCCATCTGGTTGGTCCTTTGAAACATTGCACTGGTTATTCTGGGTACAGCAGAAGAGTTAGCTAAAGAAGTTTAAAAAAAGGTTGAAGACTAAATCACTGCAGTAACTAGCATTTTTTTATGCATGCTGTTCTCAAATTAGATCTCAGGGGACGTAAATGTCTCATTTTAAACTTCTGTTCTCTGGATCAGTGTTGTAGAACTTTTATGCTCCCGTTAGTTGAAACAGAATAAGGCTGTTTCCTCCTGTGGTATTTTAGCACATATATTATAGTGTAATGTATGACAATGTATTGTATTTCCTAAAAATGTCTCAAGGAAATCTACCTAAAGATGAAAAATAATAGATCATCTACAGCAAAATTTACTGTTTGATTCTACTAAATGCTGTAATGACTTTACATAATAGGTGTTTAGCTTTAATTGACGGTAAAATAACAGTATTTCAGAAAATGTTAAAAGGGAAATGAAAAATCTGCTGTGATAAAGTGATTAAACCCAGAAAGTTTACCAAAAAAAAAGGCTGCATTTGAAACAACTGATACTTCTGTGGCCCTTCCAGGCACTTCCTATATAATAACTTTAAGCTTTATATATCATCTCCTGTTCTTCCTTTTTTCATTCTGTCATACCTCCCAACAATTTACTTTTTTTCATAAATTGTGTGCTTCATTTCCATTCATCTGCAGTGGAGGTTAAGGATAACATTTCACATACCTCAGCAGCTGGTATGCCCTCCGGAGGACGACACTGTAGCAGCACTTCCTGCTCCAGTGACACTTCTTTTCCAAGGGGTTCTTGTTCGAATGACTTCTTCAAGTCTGAGGAGAGAAGCATTCCTTTTTATAATCACAACGAAGGAACAGTAGCCTGAAAAGTACTTTGATGTTGAAAATGTTTAAAACTTTTTGTGCTCCAAAATCTGACATATACTTAGATTTTAACATTTCCTTACAAAGTAGAAAGTATTTTTCTTAGCCTTTGAAATTCAGCAATTTAAACATTTATGAAAAAAAATTTTTTATGTACTACTTCATTTGTAAAGATCACATGAATTGAAAAAATGAAATACTATTAATTAAAATTAATGAAGACTACACACTTGCCAAGAACAACTAAGAGGTTGTGCCATGTCAGTATAAACCTTAATTTCTAAGTCAACAGTTACAGACTAATTATAGTCGTGCTTTAAGTCAGTCATCCATCCAGTGGCTTCTCACACTCCCCAGTTCACAAGAAGCAAAAACACTTAGCTACATTACGTTGATTCTAAAAGATATCTGGATTTAGGAATTCACATATACCCACAAATACTTTGCCATTAGACTGCTTTGCTCCATGGCCTTCTTTCTATCAGTATATAAGCTTCTTCTGTGTGTTTGAATTCCATCAGAGTTTAGGGATTTCAAGTAACTCAAAGACAATGAATGATTCACATTCATGGTTGGCATGCTGTGATAAATAGCAACTATAATTGCTGAGTGCTCAGAGACTTTTGTTATTTTCTTTGATACAAAATAAGGGTCAGAATGTGATGGGCACATTAAAACCCCCAAAACACAAATCAAAGCAAAAAAAAAGAGGTTTCAATTACATACATACACACACACACACACACACAAATGTATATATATATATATATATATATATATATATATATATATATATATATATATATATATATATATATATATATATATATATATATATATATATATATATATGCACACTTCATTTTTTTGTAGAAAAAGCATTCATAACTCAATTCAAATTAGCTTGAAATACTAAATCCTACAGTAGTATCCGTCTCAGCCTCTTTTCTTAGAAACCTGAATTTACTGCATGTAAAAATAAATAGCATGTCACAGAACAAGTAAATAAAGCATACTGTAACTTGAGGCTTAACAACTAGCTGTATTTATGAGTCTGGACTGATGATATGATGGATATCTAAAGGAAAAGAAGAGGAGACTGAAATAGGGATTGCTGAAAGCTCTCATAGATTCTACTGAAATTATAAGGGCTTCATGAGGTCATTCATCCTAACTCAGGAACTGACTTATCCACCAACTTTTCAAATAAATAAATAATCTGGCATATGTTTTAGCCTGATCTAAATTGCTACTTTTATGTTGAGTTTCCTCTTGTTTATGTGCAAGAATGCAAGTTTGAAGGAATAGACTGTAACTTATTGAAAGGACGGCCACTTAAATCTATTACATAATAAACCCACACGTTTTATTTATACAACATAATAGAAGTTTATCATTAAACAAACTACAATTTAAAATACTTTCATATAAAACGGGTGTGTTGTTTTGTACAGATGACTAATGGATTTTTAAGAGATTCAGAAAAATATTACAATAAACCCCTAAAATGTTTCTTTGTGTGGTACTGTTGGAAAGTGTAAAATTTAACCATTGATTAGAGACATTATTGGGTTCAAGAACAATTTAAGTTTATAAAAGCAAAATTCTTAAAATAAGCAACAGTTTTTTGTGAAAGAAATAAAACTGTTTTCACAGAATACTTAATTAACGCAGCTAACTATATACCTATACATTTCACTGACTAAATGGTTTTCCTTTTCTGGATCCTTGACTTTATCTTAAAATTAGGTAAAAACTTTTCAACATAAAGTAGGAGAACCATTGCTCTACAATAAACTAAAACCAAACAGAGGTATAACTGGCTTTGCATATATTTGAGAAATATTTGTATGTGTTCATAAAGCTGAGCAAAAACTTCTCTCTTAAATATTAACAATCTTCAGAAAGCTTTGAGAACTTGGTGCATGTTGCATGTCTCACTTTGTGCCCTTTTACTCTACAGGCTCTAAAGTGTACTTTTATCACCTTAAGTGTCAGTCTTAGTTCACCTTATGCAGGCACACAAAGACTGGACAGGGGATTTTTTTGTAGAATATTGAACTAGACGACACTGAGTTTCTCTAAGGGAATTTTACTGGGATGGTCACTGTACAGTGGATAACAGCTGTAGAGACTTCTAGAAGAAGGGGAAGCAGAAAATTGCAAGCTAAGAAGCAGAAATCAAGAGCATGCTTAAAATAAAACCTTTTTCTAGTTACTCACCAACTTTGTTTTTCATCAGGTATAGTTAAAAACTTATATCAAGCTGTTTTTTTCTTTTAATAATTAATTTAATCTTCAGATACTGCCATAAGAATGGCAAACATATATATTTTTAGATGTATTAAGTCTAGGGGCTGGACAGTAAAACAGTAAACAGCAGTAAGAAGGTTCCAGGTTCAAGTTTGCGTCTTCTCCTTGTGCATGTGTGGGTTCTCTCCAGGTACTCCAGCTTCCTCCCACATTCCAAAAACCTAACTGTTAGGTTAATTTTCTCCTCTAAATTCTCCTTAAGCCGGGCTTACACTGTATGATTTTTTTTGGCCGTTTTTGGCCGACTTTCCAGTCGTGCGAGAACTGTTCGATTGGGCTGACTTTTAGCATGATTGTGCGTCGTGTGTCCTGTAGTGTACACGGAGTAATGAGGCGCAATCATCCTCTCACGACCACCATCGATCAGGAATCGTGAGGTTAGGAGAAAATCAAACAAATACAGTCAACCGTTGTGGGCAATTCTCTCAGTGGGAATGCGCAAACAAGGGTTCTTCTTCTTGTTCTTCCTCTCAGATCAAAAAGCAGAAGCATAGGAGAGGTGCAAGTGAAAAGGAGTTCTTTCTGTAAAATTGACAGACCGCAGTAGCCACATTTGCTCAGCCATGTCTTTGTTGAAATACGTCATCGGCTTTTCTTTTTAGGGCATTCGGCACACAAAATTGCACAAATTGCCAAGGCAGCGCGTTTTAAATCTAGTGAGCTTCATATTCCTCTTCTACTCCTTTGGCTTCTGGATAGACAAGTCCGAGTAGCTCCATCTCACTGCGGAGCTGAGTCCGACGTTGTTTTTAGACGTACAGTGTGAGCAGGTAAATTGCATCAGAGCATCGGGGTGCACTGCAGTTTCGTCGTACAGTGTGAGCTTTAGCTGCGTGCAGCGATTGAAAAAGTTGTACAGTGTAAGCCGGCTTAAGATGTCTGCGTGGGCCAATGACAAAGGAGCAACAAGTACAGTGTAAATTAAATAGTAAGATCCACAAATATTCACTAACTTCTAAAACAGCTTCTAAAAGTGAACTAAAAGTCTGCCAATGTTGCTGTTTGTTTTGGCGCATTCATGATAGGCCTCGCATGAACAGCACATCAGTTTGTAGCTGGTTATGTACCGGTATATACAGTTATCATGATGTAAGAGCCATAGAGGGCGGCTTCAAACTTATTTATTCTGAGAGCTGGTTTCAAATGTAGTCAGTTTTGCTGCCACCTCACTTTGATAGGACCCCTAACCTACAAAAATACTTGTCATATACAATCAAACCCAGCACCATCATGATGGGGCCTTAATTATGTTCCTGATTAGAATCTGTGCAAACCAAAGACCAAGTACAATGTGTCTCCTATATAACTGCACAGGTTTGAATTCAGTCCTTATCAAAATAGCACACATCATCAAATTCTAGATTTTAGATAGGAAAAGTGTAGGGTATGAAACCTATGAATATTTAGAATTCAGGTAATTTTATTTTAAGTTAATTAGAGTCAAATCAAGAAAACATTACTTAAGTACTTTTTAAAGAATAGTAGTACATGAAATTACACCCTCTAAACCCATGTAATTGCATTTTTTTTCCCAACACTCAATCATTTCATACCATAGCACAAAAAGTTGTGCCCATGTATCCCACTATATCAAATTAAAGTATTTCTCTTTCTAACCAATGAGTTTGATAAATAGAAATACCATAATTGTTATTACATTGTTAATAACAATACATCAAACCAATATTGAAGTATATGAGTAAACAAAAAGATGATGGACAAGGAAATGGAAACAAACAAAAAAAATGGCTGCAATTTTTTAAGTGGATCATAGGAAATATGCTAATTTGAAGAGGTGGGTTTTTAGGTTTGTGAGGTTAGGTAAAGAGTCAGAGTTCTTGATGTTTTGAGAAAAATAGTTCCAGAAAGGTGGGTCTGTGGCCAAAAAGGCTTGATTCCCCAGTTTATGGTGTTTGGTTCTAATGCTTGTCATGAGACTAGAGTCAAAAAATCAAAGCTGGTGAATTAATATATGGATTTTTTTCTTTTTTAATATATAATTTGAAACCTGAGAGGTCATGTCTCCTGATTAAGATGAAACTTGTAACTAAAATGATCTCCTGTCTTAAATTTCCACCTCTAGTCAAGCTCACATACTTCCCAAAATCAGGACATAGCCTAAATTTCAAAGCCCAAAGATGTGATACACCAAGGTGTACACCCAGTGAAATATTTCTAGCTAAAAGCCTGGTAGGGCAATGTGATAAGGCAGCTTGTGAGTATAAAACTGTGATGGCAAATAAAACCAAAGCTGTAATCAAGGTAAACAAAACTTAATGCAGGGGAAGCATTGTATAGCATGATCAGAAAGAAAAAAGCTTCTATGTTTAAAACAATAAAAAATGTATGGAATGGATGTGGAATAGGGAAAAACAAAAGGCCTATATAGGCTATGAGTTACAATGAGTTTCAATTGAATTCCAGAGACATGCTTCTACAGAACATTAAAGACTCCCTAAATGTACCTGTATAACTGCTGAACTAGAAGGCTTAATTTCCTTTTGTGCACTATAAATCTACTCATTACCCATTCTTTGTGTACAGCTGTATTGGTTAAGTGAGTTGTGTGAGGACACAGAGTATGTCTGAGGCTGAATGATAACTTCATAATACGATAAATCCCTCTAGAGGATGAC